ATATATATACGTTTCATTAAATAATATAGACACGTGTTGTCTATTTATTTTATGTAAATTCTTTTCATAACGTCTGATAAGCTTAATAACATTATCATTAAACGAAGAAAGAAAACCACAATATTGATCCATATTATTTAATCCAATCTAAGTTTTCGGCTTACATAAGCCATTATCAAAGATGTCAATTACTGTAAACTATATTAAGCAATATACGGACAAGACAGTGATGATAGTCTGTTAGTGTTTACATGGATGATTTCCAAGCAACGAGAAACACGTGCATATATATATATATATACATATATAGATAATATTAGTGGAAAATATACATACATATGCAAAATATATATAAAAAATTCCCATACATGTATATTTTCAGAAAAAATAATTTTCAAAGAGGAAGGATCCAGGTAGAACTCAATGTCTAGGACAGAGTAAGGATATAATAAAAAGGCTTAGTGTTTAAGCCTTTTTATTATATATATATATATATATATATATATATAATGGAATTATTAGTCATTTTATCTCCCAAAAATTGATATTTTCTCTATTTATCTTGTATTCCCCTCTAAGGAAATGTATTTTGATATTTACGATCACCAAAGTTAAGCAACGTCGAACATGGTCAGTACGTAGATGGACAATAGCTTGAGAGTACCAGTTGCTGCAAGCTAGGAAATGTTCATCAGTGAGCTGATTTTTTTTATTCTAGTTGTGTTCCAGTTGACTTACACACAAATGCACCTGGAAAAGATAATGACAGCTCGGAAAACTGATTGTTCTAATGAGAAAAGTACCCCCGAATATGTTGGGGAAGGCCTTAGACTCAACACGCAAGCCTACATCAAGTGCCTTGAGGAAGCAGTGCTGCTTTGGGACAAGAATGTGGGTGCTGCAAGAACCTATGTCTGGCAACAGGACTCTGCACCGTGCCATACAAGCAGGAGAACCCAGTCATGGCTGGCAGACAATTTCTGCGAATATATCATCCCTAACATCTGGCCACCTGACTCCCAAACTGCAACTCGCTTGATTATTATGCGTGGATAGCAGATGAGCGAGTGACTAACAAAACTCCCAAGGTGAACAGAAGGCAAGTATTATGGCAGCATTCACCAAAGGAAAATGGACACAGGAGATTGTGAAGACTTCTGGCGGCCGTAGTTGAAGCCAATGGGGGATTGTAATGAATGAATTTACTCTGTAGAATTTGAAGATAATTTTGTCTAATTTTGATAAATAAATCTGTTAAAATGAGAAATCAAAAGTGGTTCTTCATTTTTTTGCACAATTTAGACAAAATTTATCCATCGCATATATATATATATATATATATATATATATATATATATATATATATATATATATATATATATATATATATATATATATATATATATATATATATATATATATATATATATATATATATATATATATATATATATATATATATATATATATATATATATATATATATATATATATATATATATATATATATATATATATATATATATATATATATATATATATATATATATATATATATATATATATATATATATATTGATGCATGTTTCGTTAAATAATATAGACAAGATAAGCTTAATAAAATTATCATTGAAAGACGAAAGGAAATCACCATATTGATACATGTTTTAATCCTATCTAAGCTTTCGGCTTATAAGCCATTATCAAAGATGACAACTAATTTTCAATATGTTAAACAATACACGGAGAAAACAATAATGTTTTTGTTGCATGAAAAATTTCAAAGCCACATAAAAACTCGTGTATTCGAGACGCGGAAGCTAAAATCGCTTCAGAGCTCGTGACGTCACACATGACTACCCGAGTGTGAAAACGAGAAGTATTAAGTAAGGGGAGCCGTTGGTATAAACCAATGGTTTCTGTTACAAATTATCGGAATCTAAGAATTTTTTTGTAGATTTCATAGTTTATTTTGTCCAGCTTAGGTTTCCATTGTTTTATCTACCTTGCTTCAAGAGTTTTTCGTTTTTGTTTATTGTTTTCATGTTTAAGTATAATTGTTTTTTCAACTAGGATTTTCCGGTATTGTGTACGCGGCCAGGCATGTTTTAAATGCCTAATACACAAAATACTTACAATATATATATATATATATATATATATATATATATATATATATATATATATATATATATATATATATATATATATTTAAAAATATGTCCATGTACTATATATGTTTAAAAAAATCTTACAGTTCTAATCCTGCGAAATCATTTGCGTTGTCTTCAGCCATTGGTCAGGTCAATTTTTTAAATTATTATTTTAATCCCTTGCCTAAACAATTTTGTTAATGATTTATCAGCAGCCTACATTTACCTCATATTTTTTTTTTAAATATTTTTTATCACTTTAACACTCATGTTTTACTTTTGTTATCTCTTCAGGACTTCGACAATCATGGCAATTTACGACTTTGTGTCTTTCCTATTTTTCTCCAAACAATGTTAATTTTACTATATATTCCAAACTTTGTTATGTGTACTAACCAAACACTAGTAAGTTTACTAACTTATGTCTTCCTTCATTCTCTTGTTTTCGATATATTCTGTGAGTGTTATATTCTCCAAGCCATCTTTCCTCATTATATTATCATAGAAATTTCATGTGGTTTTCTGTTTCTAACAAAACGTGTGCTTTTTTGTTTCAGATTTTTTACTTTCAGTATATATTATTCTAAGAATCCTTTCTGTTGGCTTAAAACCATGATTATTCTTCAATTGCCAGATTATCCAATATTTACTACTATATATATGGTCTTTTATTTGGTACGGTTGAGTTTTTCCGTTCTACCTGAGAGTACCTTTTTTTTTCTTCTTTAAAACTTACTCGCTGCTACAACGATCCGTCAAATACATTCTCCGCATTATTCGATATAACCCTAACGTTGTTGCGCGAGATTTTACAAGGTTGTTTCCTTTGATATTATATTGCAATGTAACACTCCTTTCTTTGTCTGTAATGATATTTACCTGTCTCTTCATACTTTGCTTTAACTTCTGAAAGGTCTCTTTCGTTATTTTAATCCGCCTCTGGTCCTCCGTTAAAACAATTCCTTGATGGTTAAATTTCCTTTCCTGTTTCATATCGAACAATCTTCTGAATTGTGTTATCTTACTTAACCTCTTGAATTACCCCATTCATGCTCTTATGAAATCCATTTTGAGAATTGACTTATCTCCCCTAACCTCTCACCAGAACAATTTGAAGAATTGCATTATCTTAATTACCTTTTAGCAGATCAATTCTTTTGAACCAAGGTTATATTTTGGAGCATATTTTTATTTTTTTAACTCTCGGAGTGCATCTTTAAAGCAATCGCCTAGTGGAGTATAGGACCCAAACCAGATCAAGGAATTGGGATGTAATTTCCATATGCTCTTTACTGGTCCTTAGGGAAGTAACTGCACTATTATTTACTGATAGCTACAGGAGACGCGGATTCATGCCTTTTCCCACCAAGAAGCATTCTCCAGAGTTCGAAATCTCATTACCGATTGTTCGTCTCTTAGGTCAGCCAAACCGGCGCATATTCAGCATAGTTGTTATCTACAAATCTTGTTTTATTTTTATCAAAATGATACTTACAGGCAGCATCTAGTGTACTTACTTACTTACGAAGTTTGGTATAAGGTTAAAATTATAGACCGTCAATTGAGGAACAAACTAATACTTTTTTAAGACAAACTTTATAATATATTGATTGATGACAAGATTCTTTTTAGATGTATGTGTCAACGGGCAAAAGGTAGACAGTTATTTGCTATAATAGTAAAATCTCAATCAACTACAGAATTTTAACTACGTGGGTATTGTAGTAAGTCTAGTGACACAGAAATCCGAAGACTCATAGAAATAGTAAAATATTTCTTCCACAATCTTAGTCGAAGCATTAAGACATCTGAAGCCATCTTTAAAAATAAGCAAAAGAAGGCACAACCCTTATGCAATATCAAATATTCTATATAGTAATGAATATTGTGCAATTTCCGCATAGATAAAAATTAATTTCAGACAACTCAGATGTGACGGATTGATTCGTTTTTTACGGTTTGTCAACACTTAGCACGTTATTTAAAGCCAGAAAATATTGTAAGAATTTTAGTTTTTCGAGATAATGGAGATTTAGGGATGTTTCATTCGAATGTAGTCGGGTTCATCGAGCCAAGACGAACGATTTTTTTTAGTTGCATATTATGTACTCCAGTTTTAGAATCCAGAATTACATCCTCCTAGTCCGGTTGCCATTCAAGGCTATAGAACCTAGTCAATCCTGCTATCTACCCATTTTTGAGGGAAAAGAAGAGGAGTCATAGCTTTCCCAAGGGTATTAGAACATAAGTGAATGTGATGGATCTGATTGGAATTCGAACTCGGCTCTCCGATTCTTCAATCCAATCTACTATCCATTACTCTATTGATACAATTTTTACGAATACACCAATAGCTGGAGAGCGGAGAAATGGTGGATTTATACCTAATCAGAATTTGATAAACAAAGAAACAAAAAAGATATTATTATGTGGGTATTAAGTGAGGGATCAATTCTATATGACAGTTATTATATAAAATGACCCACGACATTGTGACCACAGTAGTTTCTAAAAATTTATATTCCAGAGTATGTAAATTAATCAAAAACACTTATCCGAGTATGTAATTGTTTTGCTTGATTAATTAACACGTTTTCTACCGTTTGGCACGTTTTTTTAAAGCCAGAAAATAGCTTTGGACTCTAAGAATATTAAATGTTGATAATGATGATTTAATGATACATGTCTTACTAGTTAACCCATAGATGGGTGGAGAAGACCTGGATTCATACCTTTCCTGTCGGAATTTGCGCGTAAGTAAGTATAACAAAGCCAACTGAAATTAGGACTTGGTTCTCCGATTAACAAGTCCGAGAGATTACCTTTACACCACCTGCACACCCGACCTTACAGCGCCTCGTATTCCGAAGCAGTCTCCCATCTAGGTAATGACCATGCTCAACGTTGCTTAACTTCGGTGATCGTACAGGAAGCTGTGTTTCAACGTGATATTGCTGTAAGGCTAACACGATTGTTGTTCAAGAGACAAATGTTAAGAGTACATGAACAACGAGGACGTTTGGAGAAAAAGAGAAAATAAAATGGACTCTGATTAAAATGAAAGCGAGGCTGTTGAAATTTCTTGAATATATAATTTGGAAAGTGTGCTTGGAAAGATAACAACACTCACAGTTCATACAAATCACAGAAAGAGAGCAAATAACCTACTTAAAATAATCTTGTGAAAAGGGATGGTAGAAAAGGGGGAAGACTAAATAAATGTTGAATAGAAAAAAAAAACAAAAAAAAACTTGAAAGCCTAAGTCCTGGAATTGTTCTTTTTTATTAACCATGTGACGTCAAGACATATGAGATCATGGCTATCCACAGCTTCCTGTCCTTTGTAGGCCTTAATAAACGTTGCCTCTTTGTTATTTCTGCTAATCCCTGCTCCGCTAGTCATTTACTCATGATTAATAAGTATGGTATGAGTTATTTTTCTCTGTCCCTCTTCCCGCCTATCTGCATTGTGAGTATCAGATTTTCCAAGCCTTCAAAATATTCGTCCTTTATAAGCATTAAATTCGACCTTACCTACCGAACGCTCCTTTGTGGCCGAGTCGGTTAAGGCACGTCAGCGTAAATGACGGTTCCGTATAGAATGCAGGTTCGAATCCAGTCAAAGGACGAATATTTTCTATGAAAATTTCTCGGACATTCAGGCTGGTAAATGTTATTTAATACTGTTTATTATAAACAGAGCATTTACTTAAATACTTGTATTTATAAAAAAGAACGTTAAACATAAAAATGTCTTTAATAAATATACATACACAAGTATATGGTTGGTGTATACGGAATAAATTCCCAAAACCAACAATTACTATTCTTAAAAGTGTGCTCAATATAGAGTAGAACAGACATAATTATTTATTTAAAAATTATAACATAAATATGTTATAAAATCACTACAAAAATAGCCATTTTGTTTCAACACATCCAGTATCATTTGATAAGACACCGGAGGGGTTGAAACAAAATGGCTATTTTTGTAGTGATTTTATAACATATTTATGTCATAATTTTTAAATAATTAAATAAAAAATTACACACACACACACACACACACACACACACACACATATATATATATATATATATATATATATGCGTGTTTCATTAAATAATATAGACAAGTTGTGTCTATTTATTTTATATAAAATCTTTTCATATCCTCTGATATCATTATCATTAAACGAAGAAAGAAAATCACAATATTGATACATTTTTTCTTTCTTCGTTTAATGATTTAAGCTTATGAGACGATATGAAAAGAATTTAACTAAAATAGACAACACTTGTCTATATTATTTAATGAAACATGCATCAATGAAAAAATGGTGCCTAAATACAGACAATATATATATATATATGTGTGTGTGTATGTGTATACACACATCACACACACACACGCACACACACACACACACACACACACACACACACATATATATATATATATATAGTTTCAACGACGAAATGATTCGTACACCCATCAATCTTGAATATTTTTATCCATATCTCAGAATCTAATGCCCTTATGATGCCAGGTTTTTATCATGTTAATAAGTACAAAAATGGGATATAAAACTCAATTTTAAGAACAACAGGTTAAATACAATATATTTGACAGTCAAATTATGCAAAATAGGAAAAGGCAAAATTAACGATCTTGTGTGAAATGATGGCATAGCAGAGAGAACAAGTAAATGTAAAGAATGGAAAGACATTATCACTGACAGCTTGGAATTAATGTGCATATACCGAGTGTAAATCAAAATTATCCTAATCGCATAACAACATAACTGTCGATCCTACAAAATTTTAATATCTAAAAAAAAACAACTAAACTGATTTTTCCAGAAAAAAACAACTAAACTGATTTTTCCAGAAAAACAACTAAACTGATTTTTCCAGAAAAAAACAACTAAACTGATTTTTCCAGAAAAAACAACTAAACTGATTTTTCCAGAAAAAACAACTAAACTGATTTTTCCAGAAAAAACTAAACTGATTTTTCCAGAAAAAAACAACTAAACTGATTTTTCCAGAAAAAACAAATAAACTGATTTTTCCAGATTTTCAGATAAGACGTTTAACCTTCTTGATACCATTTGTCGTAAGAATCACTGAAAGACCATTTTAGATATTCAGCTAGAAAGAAAACATGCTAAAGATGTTTTGAGTTATCCCCACTGTCTTCCCAACTGAGCAATAGTGAGAGGAAAAAGATCATTCAGGCCTTCAGTACTAGTATTCATACTCTGGCTTCCATCTTCAAAGATGCATTAAGAGAATGGCGAATAAGTCTTAAAAAGAGGGAACAGCCGAGAAGAAAACCGGCTCAGTAGGTCACGACAGGAAGAGGTATCATCCTTTCAACTTAGATCTAAAGAGATCTATTAGAATAGATCGAATACAATTCATAAGACGTTCGGCACGTGCGAGAGAATTTTCAGCTATGGCAGTTCAAAGAGCAGTGAAAAAGAAACAACTTTAAAATGAAATCGTACGTGAACCGTGTGAGAAAACTTGTTATTCCAGGACAGAAAGTTAGAAAGTTAGAGAGGGCGAAGATCAGTTTGAATAAAGTTGGAAAAGATCCTAGAATATATATATATATATATATATTGTCGGAGTTAACTTCTCCTTCAGTTCGTTAACCCTTTCACCAGGGGTCTCTCTTCCCTGGCTATAAATAGCCGCTGACCATTCGCCTCTATCTCTCTTTTTCCTTCAGGCCTGTGCGCCGACACCTTGAGGTAAATCTCTCTTTTTCTTCAGGATTTCAGCTATCAACCTCGAAATGTAGGCGCTAACAAGAGATAGCGTGGAAACACGCTGAGCACAATACACACACACGTACATACAGAATATTCCCATACACTTCATCCTTTGTACTGTTTCCATGTATTGTAAGTTGTTATTAATATATATTTGTATATACATATATTATCGGTCTTGTGTTTTGTTTGCTTTCTTTGCCTTCTTCTTTGGACTTAATCAAAGTCCAAACTTTTTATGTAGTTGGGCCCGGCAGGCAGGGAGTATCTGAACCTTACATGCGTTACTTCTACGTCTGACTTCCCAACATCACAGCCCATCTACATATATATATATATATATATATATATATATATATATATATATATATATATATACATACATATATATATATATATGAACTTATTTTCAATCTCTCATGAGCTTCCGATGCTTAGCTCTGATTAATTAATCCTAAACATGACATTTCCGTTTATGATCGATTTCATCACGATTTTTCTGGTAAGCTTGGAGAGTAATGATACATTATTATTGTTCAAATAGAGTCCAATAGTGTTATAAGAACCTCGGAAAATTACAATAAGATATTTTAATCATTTCTAAGGTACAACGGTTTAAAGCTTAATCTAACAAATAGACAATTTTGCTCTTACGCGATTAGGGCAATTTTGCTGTTAGACTCGGTATAAAAAAAAAGCTATTTACTAAGCTGAATTTGGACCCAAGCATTAATTATTGGAAAGACGGTGATAATCCTCCTCATCACACAATAGCAAATATGCTCCTTAATCACTGCTCAAAGTGGCAGCATCCTATGGGCATATTATATAAAAGGCATGAAAACTTCTTCCCTTTCCTTCCACGCCCAAGCGGATAAGGCGAAATACCTTATGCTACAGAATTTCTGTTAAATGAATATAAAAGTATAATAAAAGGAATAAAGATTTTGTCTTCGACACATAATGGGGAAAAATTGATTGGTAAATTTCCCACTCACAGGGCGTATTGGATACAAGAGCGGCAAACTAACTTACCCAACAAGCCTTAGTAAATGGAATGAAGAATAGAGAGAGAGAGAGAGAGAGAGAGCGAGAGAGAGAGGGGGGAGTTAATAACTGCCACAAAGGTTAGGAAGGTGTGGAGAGCCATGATCACCACACATTGCTATTCAAGAATCATGAGTAACTAGATCAACCTGGCTAACCATTTTCCCACAACGAGGCATCCAGTCGTTCTTTTAAAACTCGAGCGTTAATTAATAAAAACAGAAACACACTGTTCCTGATTTATGTATCAACCAGATGTTTTACCCGAGCATTTTTTGTAAGCAAATGCTGAAAAATATGACTAAATGATCTTGCTGATGTGACCTCCATCTTCTGGCTTTCACCTTCTATATTTTGGATAGGAGTTCAAATTTAAATTTAATTCAAATCAAAGGAAAAATCACTGGTGGGGTGTAAAACAGTTTTATCTGACCCCTCTGATATGTATTTGATGGAATACTTGATTGAATGCATTGATGAGAACATTTCAACATTGATATGACAGTTGAATCATCGCAACACATATGTATTGTAAGGCATTACCCATTGATTGGAGATTTCTTGCTCAACTTGCCGGCCATGTTGTCTCATTTTGATCTTTTAGATGTGACTTCCATCTTCTGGATTTCTCCATCTATATCTTAGGTAGGAGTCATTCCCTTCTTCAAATTTAAATTTAATTTAAACAGGAAAAATTCAGTGGGGGCTTCATGCACACCCACCGTGCAACTCCTTTGATCAAAATGATCGTGCTGGTGTGATTTCTCCTTCTATATTTTGGATAGGTGTTATTCCCTTGTTCAAATTTAAATCAAAGGAGAACAAATGTTCAGTGGGTCGGATGCCCCCGAAGTCTCCCTTTGATCAAAATGAAATATACTTATCCAAGTAACTTGGGTAATGTAATTTCAGAATATATGTGGTTATAGGAGTCCAAAACCCAAGCAGGAGTTCTATAACAAACAGACAGTCAGAGGCTACGACTTCATATATAGGGTGGCAATAAATCAATATACAGTTACTTATAATAACAATTAAGACAAAGCAATTAATCAAGAGCTCAGAAATTTATTATTAAAATTGTTTTGGTTAATTCTGATTAATAATATCAAATACAATGTAAACAAC